ATTTACAACAATTCCATTTCATTTCAACCATGTGTCAACTAGGTACATATGTCTTGTGCGTACAATTATAATTAATACCTTTCTTACCAATACAACAATAATCACATTTTCCTATAGCTGTTATTTAATATATTTATTATTTAACAATCTTAACTTATTTCTCTATATATTCATCTAATCCATTTTAATTTGTTTTATTTTCCAGCCATTGATAAAATAAACCCCATACCATGTGGTATTCCATTTCTTCTTTTTCTTTGATTACCAATGTTAACCTATTCATCTCTGCACATTGAAATATTTTCTCAATGGAGCACCCACAACTTCTGAAGGCAAAGCTGTTGCGCTGGTTGATTGTTCTCACGATTAGGAAATTTCTCCTTAGTTCTGAATTGCTTCTCTCTTTTCTGGTTAGTTTCCATCCATTGAATTTATGGGGAGCAATTTTGGGGTTTTGGAGCTCAAGTGTCCAGGACTGAGTGTGAACGTCTTAATTCTTAACATCTGTAATGTTATTAGATTTTCCCTGGCTCAGTAAAATGAATTTGGATGAGGTTACCTGACAATTATGTGGTATCAGGTAATTGTCTGCCTGGGCATGGTGAGATTCACAAAAGGAATCATATTTGAAAGCATACGGAACAGGGAAACAATTTTGTTACGTTCTAAATTAATCCTGCAAGAGTCATGAACTGAGAATATTTCATAACACGCTTCATGAAACTTAAGTCAGAATCCCTAAAACAGTCATTATTCGGTTTTAAAAAACATTGTTCCTCTCTTTGGTGCCACACTTAGTAGACATTCTATAAGTTTGTGACGAAGCAGCTCTTATCTAAGTATAATGATTAATGCCATATTTTAATGAAAGAAATTCTTTTATGAATGCTTATTTATTACGAAATCCAGAGACCAGGATCTGGAAAAGTAGTTTCTCTTAATACATCTCAGTACCTGTTAAGATCACACCTGTTTAGTTTTCTCTGCCACCTCGGGGAGAGGCAGAATTGTCCGTCCTGGTCAGCCTCTCAACTTTGCCCCTCTGCAGGATGGAATGAGAGAGAATTCGCCGTTCATCAGCCCCATAGCTGGAGACAAATCTGAAATTTTCCCTCAGATCTGTTGGGAGGAAAATGACGGATGTTTTCACTGTATTTCTCCATGGGAAGGGAAACTTAACCTTTCTTGAGGGCAAGATTCCCACAGCAAGGGGAGGAAGAGAGCTACTGAAAGAAGTATGGAAAATGTCTTAAAGGTGCTTTCTTTTCTTTTCTTTCCAAAGGCAACTGGACTGTTGCAGATTTGCAACTGGCAGATGGAGGCCCCCACTATCCAATCTCAACTGTTCTTCCATTTCCCCCCTCCCCCACTACCATCATAACTAATGGAGCTTCTTAGATTAGAAGCGAAACTACTTCTCCTCCTCCTCCTCCCCCTCTTCTTCTTCTTCTCCTCCTCCTCCTCCTTCTCTTTCTCCTCTTCTTCTTCCTCCTCCTCCTCTTCTCCTCCTCCTCCTCTTCTCCTCCTCCTCCTCTTCTTCCTCTTCTCCTTCTTCTCTTCTTCATCTTTCTCCTTCTCCTCTTCTCCTCCTTCTCCTCTTCTTCCTCTTCTTTTTCTCCTCCTCCTTCTCTTTCTCCTCTTCATCTTCCCCCCCTCCTCCTCTTTTTTCCCCCCTTCTCCCCCCCCCTCTCTCCCCCCCCCCCCCCCCCCCTCCTCCTCTTCTTCATGGAAAACATTCCTCCAGGCCTTCCTGTCCCCTACCATCCTCCGGAGTCAGCTCACACCGACTGCTTCAGTGACTCCATCCAGCCACCTCATTCGCTGCCGTCCCCTTCTTCTTCTTTTGCCCTCAGTCATTCCCAGCCTTCGGCTCTTCTCCAGTGAGCCTTTCCTTCTCATTAGGTGGCCAAAGTATTTGAATTTCCTTTTCAGGATCTGGCCTTTTAAAGAGCGGTCAGGGTTGATCTCCTCTAGGACCAACCGGTTGGATGGCCTTGCAGTCCAAGGGACGTCAGACTTGAAGAAGCTTCTTGGATGAGAAGCGAAATGTCTTCAAGAAAAAAAACAAAGAAAATCCAGCTGCCTTTTGGGAAAAAAAAAAAAAGCACCTTTGGGGACAACCAGGACCTGGATGATTGAGAATCTCCTTAGACGTTTCCCCAGCATTCTTCTACTCCTTCAGGAGCTGCTTGAAAGCATCACACTAAACCACACGTGCTTCCCAGGTCCATAAGTCCACCCACAGTCAAATTAGATCTGTAATTACTTTTTGAGCCTTTCCATTTTAATTTTTTTTTTTTTTTTGGACAGCTGATAAAATAAGAGTCTTGTGTTTCTGGCTTCCAGGTTATAAGGGGAGGGGCACTGTTACCCCCAGGGGGGCGGTGGGGGGGGGGGGGCAACCGACCACCCAGTTGCTGCATTGAAAAGCTGTGATGTGCTTCTTTCTCAGAGTGGCCACTAAAGAATTCTTTAGTGTTCTTCAGGTTTGCAAAGCAAAAGTGGCTCTTTGGAAATAAAAGGAGTTTAGAGAAGCAGGCTTCCTTAGAAAAAGTGGCTACTCTAATTAAGGAACATTAGTGTCCTTGTCATTTTGGCATTTAAAATGAAACGGTCAAGGAACTGGTCTCTTTGAATGAATGAATGAGCTGGAAGAGACCCTGGAGGTCTTCTAGTCCAGCCCCCTGCTCAAGCAGGAGAACCTGTATTATTTCAGATAAGTGACTGTCTAATCTCTTTGTTGTGGTCTGTTGGCAGCCTGCGGAGATGGCGGCAGAGTCGGACAGTGGGAAGGAACATGGGCCAGTCTGGGGAGGACTCGGACGAGGGTCCTGCATCTGATGCAGAGATGGGGCCAGGACCATCTGGGAGTGGGGTGCTGCCTCCGGAGCCTCCAGAGTCTGGCAGCAGCGAGGCAGAGGAACAGGGGGAGCCTGTTCTCAGTGTGTGTGCGCGCGCAGAGCTGCCAGAAGGCAAGAACAGTTAAGACAAAAGGGGCGACTCGGGAGTAAGGCTTGGAGGTGATTGGCCCTCCCATAAGATATAAAGGAGGAGCAAAAGGACAGGAATCTTTGCAGGAAGCAACTTTGTTCGTACTGGTCCGTTTGGCCTCGTATAGCTATTTGGACATTTAGTCGTTAGCAGCATTTCAAGGAAGATAAAGGTGTGTGCTTCTCAGACTTATCCCGAAGGATTTTGGCAGACTTCCATGGGACTGTTTACAAACTGTTTCAGACTCATTACAGGCTTTGAATGAATAAAATTCACAGCCGTTGAAATAAAGGAAAAAGGGTTTGGGGACTAACGTGTGTTTGTTAGTGTCTCCATAATCTTTGGTCAGAACACGCTTCTTAAAAACCTCCAGTGATGGAACGCCCATGGTTTCTGGTGGCAAGCTGTTCCACTGGTTCCACCAAGGCAGGAACATTCCTCAGAGAACACATTTATTGGACACATCATATCGGCACAGCCGGTGAAAACCAACTCTAAAAGTTTCCTGTGGTTACCTTGTAATTAAAAGATCAAAAGTTTCGCCTCCCCAGGTGTTACAGGTCACATTGTCCAATCAAAGCAGTTGGCGGGCTCCCTCGACTACGACTTCTGCTCCTCCTCCTTCTGCCACCTGTTGGGATGACCTTGGTTCCCACGGGAGAGCTCTTTGTTTTGTCTTCGAGACGGTCTAGCTGTTTCCCCCTCATCCTCCCTGCATAGTGCGTGGCAACTGTGAAGCAGCACAAGATGGCTTCAGCCAGGTTGGATTCAGAGTTGAGAGTCCGATCAACATGTAAACAAACTTCCCCGAATCAGGAAGGTGGGACACGGAGCAGTAGTTATCTAAAACTATGAATGCAAGGTGGTCTCTTCAAGAGGAGGTGTACCATCCCCTCTTTTAAGGCTGGAGGCACTGTCCTCAAACATACTTCACACTACAGCTTGGAATCAACCAGAAGTGACCCCCCCCAAAAAGCCATTTAACAGAGTGGAAGGGACCTTGTAGGTCATCTAGTCCAACCCCCCAACCAAGCAGAAGACCAATACCATTTCTGACAGATGGCAGTCCAGTCTCTTTTTGAAAGCTACCAGGGATGAAGCCCCCACAACTTCCGAAGGCGAATTCTGTTCCATGGTTTGATTGCTCTCACTGTCAGAAAAAAATTCTTCTTATTTCCAGCTTGAATCTCTCCTTGTTCAGTTTCCATCCATTATTCCTTGTCTGGCCTTCAGGTGCTTTGGAAAATAGTTTGACCCCCATTCCTCTCTGTGGCAGCCACTTTCATAACTTGAGAACCCAGATTTATCCTCAAGAGGCCCAGTAAAAGAAATTGCAAAAATAAGGATAGATGGAAGCTATCTGGAGGCCTTGAGTTGTCCATCTCTCTCTCTCTTTTTTTCCAGGCTTGTTTCAATAGTTTATTCCATTAACACAGTCAGCACAGGATCCCCAACCCTAATTGCAATATTTTTATTTATGCTCTTACAGATTTGCCGCTTCCTCAAATTCCCACTGAGCTGCAGATTGTCAACTAAAAAGATACCCCTTGGGTCTTTTTAGCCGCCAGCAGAAAGAGAGTGAGAGAAAAGAGTGCATTTCTCAAGTGCCTAGATAATAGCCCTGGCAGCCCAACGTTGTCAGCGTGCAAGAATATTACTACTGGAGAGCGTGATTGATGACTTTGGCTATGGATGTGTCCCATTGGAGGATATACATCCAGAAGGTGGGGGAAGACCAGGGTCAAGGGGGAAAGGAATGATGTATTTTAGTGTCAGCTGCATCCAGCTAACACCAACATGGCCACTTCTAATAAACCGGTTTCCTTTTCTCTGAGAGATGTGGCTAGAGACTTGTGAGTTGAATGGGGGTGGATTTGTTGGAGTCCTTGCACAGATCATTTTGCTCAATGTTCGCTCTATAAGTTAAACTTGGAGACCGTTGTTAAGGTCTGTAACCCTCAAATCCTGACCCAGTATTTTCCCTCCCTCCCTTCCTTTCTTCCTCTTAGGTACTGCTTATCATAAGTGGGAATCTAAGCTTCCTCAACTGGTTGACCATCGTGCCCAGCATAGCATGTTTTGATGATGCCTCCTTGGGGTTCTTGTTTGGTTCCAGCAAAGGATCACTGAAGACCCACGTCCTGAAGATACAAGCGGAAGAAGCAGCAGGAAAATCTGGACCTTTACAATACGGTAGGTGATTTTCTTCTAGGCTCAAAGCAACACATATGTCCGTTCCAGGCGTATTTTTGACTATCATGTCAGGGCAATCCACACAGATGGTTACAGGAGTTTCCTCTGCAGAATAATAATAATAATAATAATAATAATAATAATAATAATAATAACAACAACAACAACAACAACTACTACTACTACTACTACTACTACTACTACAACGATAATAACAACAACAACAATAATAATAATAATAATAACAACAACAATAATAATAATAATTGAATTCTTTATTGGCCAAGTGTGATTGGACACGCAAGGAATTTGTCTTCAGTGCACAAGCTCTCATTGTAAATAAAAACTATAAGTGACAAATCACCATAAAAATACATTCATCATAAATCATAAGATATAATAACATTTAGTGATAGTCATAGGATACTAAATAAGCAATCCGCATAAATTGTACTAGGAAACTAAACAAAACAATATAAATTGTAAAGATGCAAGCCACACAACTGCACACCAGAACAACTAGATACAAGGACGTTTTTTTCTCAAATGCCATCACTCTGCTAAACAACTAGTTCCCACAACACTGTCAAACTATTTATATTTAGTAAGACTGTATTGCTATTATTCTTCTCGTCCTTCCTATTACCTATCTCTTCCAACTTATAACTATAACTGTGTTGCTTGTATCTTTACGATTTATATTGTTTTATTTGTTTCCTACTATGATTTGATTGCTTATTAGTAACCTATGACTATCACTGTTGTATCTTATGATTCTTGATGAATGTATTTTATTATTTCTTTATAGACACTGAGCTTATGTACCAGAGACAAATTCCTTGTGTGTCCAGTCACACTTGGCAAATAAAGAATTCTATTTTATTCTGTGCTATTCTAATCATAGGTAGAAAAGGAGATAGGTAATAGGAAAGATGAGAAGAATAATATTAATACAGTCTTACTAAATAAGAGCACTTCACCGAGACTGCCATTGGATACCTAAACCACTTCAAACAGAGGGGAATGTGATGTTTGCGAAGTTCCTCCTATTTTAATATTTTACAGCCGTTTAACTGATCAGTTAGGGGACACAGTGATTCAGTGGCTAAGATGCTGAGCTTGTCAATCAGGAAGGTCAGCAGCTTGGCAGTTCGAATCCCCAGCGCCACGTTACGGAGTGAACTCCCATTCCTTGTCCCAGCTTCTGCCAACCTAGCAGTTCTAAAGCACGTAAAAAATGCAAGTAGAAAAATAGGGACCGCTTTGGTGGGAAGGGAACAGTGTTCTATGTGCCTTTGTCATTTCATCATGCCAGCCACATGACCACAGAGATGTCTTTGGACAGTGCTGGCTCTACTTCGGCTCCGTGACGGAGATGAGCACCATCCCCTAGAGCTGGAAATGACTGGCACGTATGTGCGAAGGGAACCTTTACCTTTACCTGATCAGTTAAGCAGGACTGGATAGGAGGCCATTAGCTTATCCTACTAGGCCGGACTCAGAAGTCGGGAAAATCCTATCCAAGGTAGCTGTGTCCATGAAGGCACCACCTATCAGTCTCATCTCAGACCTAACTTTTCTTCTTAATCCACTAAGCCTTTCATTTCATTTTAAAGAGACAGACTTTAAAATGATGTGATGTGCTGTAAATCTCAGACCTGGAGCTGGCTGAAAATAGATTCAAAACTAGGTTCTCTGTAAAGAAGGCTTTAGTTTTATGTAGAAGGAAAAAGAAGAGACGAGAAACTAGGCTTTAGTTTATTTCTAGCCAGATTTATTCCATTTGCATTGGCCGCAGTCATATACACAGCCTCTGCTCAACCTTGAAGTGGAGTTTCTAAAGTCACCAAAGAGCTGGAGTCCCCACACACGGGAATTGGCCAAACTGTGTGTACAGTTACACACACGGGAATTGGCCATGGTTAATATTATCCACATCTAACATGTGCGAATGTAGATTAGAAATAACTTTTAAAGAAGAGACTGGAGAGCCACTTGTCTGAAATGGTATAGGTTCTCCTGCTTGCGCAGGGGGATGGACTAGAAGACCTCCAAGGCCCCTTCCAGCTCCATTCTATTCTATTCAACTATTCGACATCTCGTCTTTTCTGCAGGGAGCTACATCCGCAAAGCTGTGAATGTATCCTTGGGGGCTCTGATCATCTTCCTCAGCATCCCAGTGGTTCTCAATCTGATTAGTGCCCAGCAAATCATGAATACTTCCTACAACCCCCTCAGGATCGTCAACACCTACGGAGCATTTGGAAGGTAAGATCCACAATATCTAAAGAGCACCTGGCCTGTGTCCTTGGTCTCTCTTTGAGCCATGCCTGTTGTGGCCTGTCGACCGCCAGCCCCTCCAGCAGCCAGATTGAGGAAGAGGAAGCGTGGGAGTCGAGATCAGCATCAAGGCAACTTGAGAGCTCCGAGGGTGAAGAGGGAATGGAGCTGTCAGAGAGAGAGAGACAGAGCCTGGGTCATCCATCAGCCCTCAGATGGAGAGTCAACAGCCCCCAGGTCTGGAGGTGGCTGGTGAGGAAGAGGAGGAACGGCTGGGTCCAGTGCCTGATGCACAGATGCGCAGAAGGCAGAGGAGAGGAGAGCAGTGGGAATCTATGGGCTGGTCCTTGGGACACAAGAGCCCAAGTGAGCTGCTAGTTAGGCCGCACCCTAGCTCTGGGGATAAAAGGCAGGGGGCGGAGATGAATAGATGTGGGAGACACCTATTTACCTTACAGATGGAGGGACTTTTTTAGTCTGCATTGAGAGAGAAACCTTTTGCTGGGGGCTCCTAATAAAGGCATCTTTGAGTTAACTTCAGAGGGTTTGTCGTGTTTGGTGAGCTGGGTCAGAACATGCCACTGTACTTTGTGAGGGGAAAAAGCAATGTCAAAAAAAAAAATCCATTTAAAAACACTCAAGGACCTTTTCAGGGCAGGAGAACATCTCTGGTCCACAAGAACATTCCCAGAAGCGCAATGAAGAAGCCTTGCCGGGAAGGGTGCAAAACATTCCTTCATCATGACCACTCCTTATTGTCTACAAGATATAAAGATGAGCGGGTCAACCTGTTTTCCAAAGTACCAGAAGGGAAGACAAGAAACAGTGGTTAGAAACTAACCAAGGAGAGAACCAACCTAGAACTAAGGAGAAATTTCCTAACAGTGAGAACAATCAACCAGTGGAAGGACTTGCCTTCAGAAGTTATGAGTGCTCCATCACTGGAGGTTTTAAAAAGAGATTGGACAGCCATTTGTCTGAAGTGTTATACAGGGGATTGGACTAGAAGACCTCCAAGGTCCCTTCCAACCCTCTATTATTCTATATTCTATGTCTTTTGCACAACTTTCTGGACATATCAGAGTCTGGATCCAGATTCAGCCATGGCCACTCATAGGCCTTCTTGCATCCTAGTCTCAGAATCTGAACATCTTAGAGCAGGGGTGTCAAAACACAAGGCCTATGGACCGGATCCACCCCGCGATGTGGTCAAATCCACCTGCGGGGCCGTCCTGGAAAATGTAAGCAGCCGGCCTGTGTCTGTTGTGGCCCACCGGCCGCTGACGGAGCTGTCAGCAGAGTCGTACAGTAGCGAGGAGGTTGGGGAGGAACCTGGCCCAGTCTTGGAGGTTGAGGGGGGCTCAGATGAGGGCTCTGCATTGGAGACAGAGATGGGGCCAGAGCAAGCTGGCAATCATTAGCTGCCTTCAGACTCAGACAGCAGTGAGGCAGGGGAGCTTCTGGAACTGGTTCCTAACTTGCGCATGTGCAGGGCTACTAGTTGACAAGAACAATTAAGAAAGCAGGGTTGACTCAGGAGTAAGGCCATACCTCGGAGATGATTGGCCCCTCCCAGGGGTGGGATTCTACCGGTTCTGTCCACCTCTGTAGAACCGATAGCTCTGAAGAGCAGCAGACAGAGAACATACATGGAACCAGTTCTATGTCTGCTGCTGTTTTGGCCTGCCTGCCCGCCCGGGCTCTTAGCTGACCTTTATTTCCTGCTTTTTCAACCACAGCTGCTTTGCGCGACACAGCCACGGTTGAAAAAGCAGGAAAAAAGTGCTTGCTCAACCGCTGCGCACCTGTCCAGGGAGCTAGCTGATGACGATATATGAATGAGAATATCATGCGAAGCACACAGGCACACGCAAAATGTAAAATCACTGAACCAGTAGTTACACTGGTCAGATCCCACCCTTGGCCCCTCCCATGTGACATAAAAGAAGAGCAAACAGGACGTGAGCTTTTGCAGGAAGCAATTAGTTCATCTGATCAATTCAAGCTCTGAAAAGTCCTGTTTGACTCTGTGTCAAGTTCGGCCTTGCCATGCGCTTGGCAATTAGTTCTCTGGCAGCTTTCCAAGTGCAATAAGGTGGGTGTTTATAAACATTGCCATGAAAGACTGTTTGTGAAGCCTTGCAGGCTGTGAATGAACGTAATTCACAGCCATGGAAATAAAAGATGTCTTGCTGTAACCAAGATTGTGTTTTATGCTTTCTAAGGAAGCCTAGGTCAGAACAGTGTCGCTTCGGCCCAGTCTACCCAACGCAAAGAGGAAACATGCCAGTGTCAACTCATAACATATTTCTATGGTCTTTTAGAGTTGCCAGCGGAGAGGGAGGGGGAGCAGTGTAGCAGTTTGCAAACCAAAACTGCATTCCATAAATGTTTTCAAAGATGGTAACTAGGTGACCGAAGTTTCTTCCACGCAAAATTCTAACTGGAGAGCATGATTGATGACTCTTGGATATGGATGTGTTCCATTGGAGAATATGAATTATGATACACCCAGGGGGTGGGGGAAAACCAGGGTCAAGGGTGACAATAAATTATGTGTTGCAAGAGTCGGCTACACCCAGGCAAAGTTGGACATATTAACTCCCAATAAGTCCTTTTGAATGCCGGAATCCTGACAGCCAGCAGTTTGGGGACTGGTGTCAAGCTGGGCACAGCCACCCAGTTGGTCACATCCATCCCGTTGGCCATGCGCCCCCCACAGACCCCTCCAGGTCAACCACAGCCCTGATGCGTCCCTCAATGAAATTGAGTTTGAGCCCGCTGCCTTAGAGGTTCGGTCCTTCCCATCCCTAAGGAGGACAGTTTTGTATTCCATCCTCAGCCAGGTGACCTGAGGCCATCCCGGGCTCTCAAGACCAGACTCTCCATGGAGTTATTGTGGTGGGGAACATCAAAGGGCGGAGCTGTGCTCGCTGCCGAGATCTCCTGCTCAGAAAGGATTCATGTAAAATGATCCGTCAAATACGAACTCAATCTATCCCTTCCTTTTTTTCCGTAGGAATTCTTGTGACGTAGCCAACAAGGCCTCAAGCACGTTTGGCCATGTCTGGCAGGCAACGGTCGTACAGCTTTTCATTCTGGCACTTGCAGCAAAAGCCTAATGCGAAAGAATCCCTGGTGATTTACAATCCTGAGTGATCTTTTTAATAGTCTTCCTAACCGTTTTTAGCCATCAGTCCAAAAAGGCTGACCAACTGTTTTTCCATGTTGGTTGTAACAGAATGCAGAACGTGTTTTGCTTAAGCAATTGCTTACAATCCCTGCCGTGGAGGGACTGTAATCTTGTGAAGTATGTATGTCTATGGGGAGTCCTCAAGTTACAACCACAATGGAGCCCAGAATTTATGTTGCTAAGTTGTCATCGGTTAAGGGAGTTTTGCGCCATTTTACAAACTTTCTTGCCACTGTTGTAAAGTGAATCCCTGCAGTTGTTAAGTGAGTAACACGGTTGTTAAGTGAGTCCGGCCTTCCCTGTTGACTTTGCTTGCCAGAAGGTCACCAAAGGGAATCCTGTGACCCATAAGTGCGGAAAATTTTGTCATAAATCACTTTTTTTTCAGTGCCATTGTAACTTCAAATGGTCACTAAATGAACTGTTGTAAATCGAGGACTACCTGTAGATCAGCAGTGTCAAACTCGCGTCATTATGGAGGCATCACATGAAGTATCGTGACTTTTTTCCCCCTTTGCTAAACCAGGCATGGGCGTGGTCAGTGCCTAACACATCCGGCCCGCGGGCCAGGAGTTTGACATCCCTGCTGCAGATAGTTCAATTCTGATATTTGGTGAACGCCCCATGTAATCTTGATACCTAATCAGGACTCTGCTGGACCATCCCTTCCTCGGAACCCAGAAAGCCTTTCTCGCCTCTCCCCTAAAACTGTGTTGTAACGCTGGGAAGAATAGTATAGGATAGAATATGGAATGGAATGGAACAGAACAGAATTGGAAGGGACCTTGGAGGTCTTCTAGTCCAGCCCTCTGCTCAAGCAGGAGAACCTATACCATTCCAGACAAGTGGCTCTCCAGTCTCTTCTTAAAAACCTCCACTGATGGAGCACCTACAACTTTTGAAGGCAAAGCTGTTCCACTGGTTAATTTTCCTCACTGTTAGGAAGTTTCTCCTTAATTCCAGGTTGATTAGATTCCATCCATTGTTTCTTGTCCTGCTCTCGGGTGCTTTGGAGAATAATTTGACCCCCTCTTCTTTGTGGCAGGGCCTCAAGTACTTGAATATTTCTGCCCTTGCACTTAACGCGTCCCTGGGCCGCACTTGGTTGCCTCCTCAAGAGCTTCCAAACGTTCACCACACTCTTCTATCTTGCAGCATCACCAAAGAGAGAACTGAGGTTATAATCCAAGGGACTTCCAGCTCGGATCCCAATGATCCTGATGCAGTTTGGGAAGAATATGAATTCAAGTGTAAACCCGGGAATCTGCAGAGGCGGCCCTGCCTAATCAGCCCCTACCATTACCGCCTGGATTGGCTCATGTGGTTTGCCGCTTTCCAGGTGAGTATCTGTTGTGGTTCTCTGGCAGCCAATGCGGACAGCAAAGGTATCGGACAGTGAGGACAAAAGGAACCAGTCAGGGCGAGGACTTGGACGAGGGTCCTGTGTCCGATGCAGGAATAGGGCCATCTGGGAGTGGGGTGCTGCCTTCGGAGTCTATTACAGAAAGGACAAGCAGAAAAGAAAACTACAGAAGGGAAAATTAGAGAAAGAAGGGTATAAAAAAGGGATGAGAAAAAGGGGGGAAAGAGAAAGGGAAAGAACTGATGAGGGACAAAAACAAGAAATAAAGAAAAAGGGGAAACGTACTAGGGTTAAAGGTATTTGCTCAGCTAGAAAACACAGAGACAATGGTTAAATTAAGTTAAAAGTGAGGATTCTGCAAAGGTACAAAAGATAGCGTTGTGACAGTAGAATACTGTAATGAGTTAGAAATGAAATAAGTAAATAATCTATGAGGTAAAACTGTATTGTTATGTAATGGTATGTTTATTTATAGTTAATGCAATAATAAAGAAGAGAGGGAAACATTGCAATTGTTTCTAAAGATTGATAAAATATTGAAAAGAAATGTGAAAGTTTTATAAGGAAATTTATACCAGTTATTAGAATGAATTTGAATAATTATTTTGCTTATTAATAGTAATAATTTATAAGATAAAACTGTATGACTATCCAATGGTATGCTTATTAACAGTTAAGTAATAATGAAGAAGGGAGGGAAACATTTCAATTGTTCTCAAAGATTGATAGATATTGAAAAGAAACGTGAAAGATTTACAAGGTTCATACCAGTACTAGAATGATTTTGAATAACTATTTTGTTTACTAATGTGTGTGTATGTATGTGTGTGTGTGTGTGTGTGTGTGTACACACACACACACACACACACACATATGTATATGTATATATACACATTAGTATATATATGTATAACCAAAGATCCATATATAACTATATATATAGTTTTTGTTATGTTTGTAGAATTTTTCTTTTTACATTTTCAAGGGGAAGTACCAAGCAGAGTCTGAATGATGAGATCTACATGACATAAAACAGACATTAGAAATTTGAATGTTATGTCAAAGATGCACAAATTCAATGTTTAATGAGATTTCATATGATAATAACAATAGGATTTAAAGGTGTTGCACTTCGATTGGCAATCATAGGGGGAATTTTGCTTCTTAAGAATGTTGGAAGAGAACATATGAAATTGTAAACAAGACAGACGAAAGTATAAGTACAATGAATAAAAAGATGTAGCAATTTAGGTAAAAGAAATACAATTGAATAAGCAGAAAATAAGATAACCCTAAAAGAAAATTAAGGGAAGTAAAGGGAGAAATAGTGAGAAGTTGGAAAAAGAGTAATAAGGTATGAAGTTGAATACATAAGATGAATATGCATATGAAATTGTGTCTGTATGGAAATGTGATAATCCAGAACCATGCTGTATTCATATAAGATGTTTTATTTGTTTTGTTAAAACTCAATAAAACTTTATTTAAAAAAAAAAGAATTAAAACATAATATAAAATGCCTAATGGCTTCTAGGCTCCATTCAATAGCATGGTCTGGTGTCTGTGGGATAGAGACAATGAATGATTGAGCCCATCCGACTCTTCCCTGGATCCTGAAGAGCAACCAAGAAGCATGAGAGAAATCATTTCCATCCTTCAGCCCCTCTCGCAACGGATTGTTTTTTGGAACTCTTCACTGCTTGATACGCAACAGTCTCTTCGGCTGGCAGCTCCTAGAAAAACTTCCTTTTTTGGGACAAGGTCCCAGATTTCCACTGGAAGCAGAAAAAGGAGGCCGAAAGCCTGTCGTGGTTGAATGAGGACTTTCTGAATATTGGCGCATCGGAAGTTTTATACACTTGTGGATCCATCTGGACCAAAGAGCATCGGGAGGGGGGAAAAAATGCCATTGCCTAATTGCTACACCAAAAGTGCTTTTAATTGTCTTTTGGGCAGCACGCCATTACTTTGCAAGAAAACATTTCCTAATTTATTATTAGCCAAACATAATCACTCTCTGCATTTTTCTTCTTTCCAACTTTCAGCAGAATGTTGGAAAGAAATGATGTGAAGACGCTGAGGAGTCTATCGGCAAACGCTCTCGCAGTCGAACAGAACAGGTCCCCCTTGGGGGAGGGAGGCGAGTGGGGAGAAGTCAGCAGAAAGAAGTCAGCCGAGTTTGAAAATGGAGCACTTTGAAAAGGGCTACAAAGAAAAACCCCGAGCACCTCCATGAGAAAGCCGGTTGGACAGAAATACCCAGAAGGAATACAGAATAAAAGAGTTGGAAGGACCCTTGGAGGTCTTCTAGTTCAGTGGTCGCCCACTGGTGGGCTAGGGACCACTGGTGGTCCACGAGAAAATTTCAGTGGTCTGCAGAGAACTGTCCCCTCCAAAGCACACCCTCCCCTCAAAGCAGTTAATCCAGGCTGCATGGGAACACATGGCTGCGCCGTCCACGTGGCCTGCCCACCCGCTGGCCCCCACCCTTCATCTGAGCGCAAACCTTCAAAGCGCTGAAGTGCGAGTGGCACGGGAAACTTCAGCCAGGCTCCTCGAGCAAAGGCGGAATGCTGATGCCATGCAAATAGCATGGCGCTCTCGCCCCTTCCAGCCATCTCCATCGCCGCTTCGGCCCACCTGGGCCTCCGCCCCCCTCTTGCCGCAACAGCAACATTACCTTGTCCTGGCTGGCAAGGGCTGCACTGTATTTCCATGTTGCACCACCTACAAATTTGCACATTACACGTGCCAACCTCTACAGCAGAGATTTCCAACCCCACCACGGGCCAGTCCCATATTCCAGAGCTGCAGTAGTCACAAGACTGACCCTTTGGCCATCCCGGAGCATCTCCTTCAGTCCATGGCAGGCCGATACACCCGGGTGGAGGAGCAGCTGCTCCGGGATGACCAAAGGGCTAGTCCTGTGACTACTGCAGCTCTGGAATATGGGACCGACTTTCCCACCAACGTCAGCAATTCATATTAGTGGTCCGCAGGATTTAAAATTATGAGTTTGGTGGTGCCTGAGATCCAAAAGGTTGGTGACCCCTGTATCTAGTCCAACCATCTGCTTATGCAGGAAACCTTACGCCATTTCATACAAATGGCTGTCCAGTCTCTTCTTGAACACCCTCCAGTGATGGTGCACCCATAACTTCTGTTTGATTGATCTCGCTGTATAGAAATTTCTCCATAGTTCTAAGTTGCTTCTCTCCTTGGTTAGTTCCACCAATTAATTGTTCTCACTGATGGGTCAGAGGTTGGAAATGATTTGAGCAGTTGGTCTCCGAAGGTCTACCTTCTTTTATGTCCCTCCAGAACCCTTATGGGGAGAGCATTGGAAAAAGACTCCTCCAAACCTTCTGTTGAATGAAGAGTGCCTCAGGGGCTAAGATGCTGAGCTTATCGATCAGAAAGGTGGGCAGTTCGGCGGTTTGAATCCCTCGCGCTGTGTAATGGGGTGAGCTCCCGTTACTTGTCCCAGCTTCTGCCAACCTAGCAGTTCGAAAGCAGGTTAAAAAATGCAAGTAGAAAAATAGGGACCCCTTTGGTGGGAAGGTAACAGAGTTCCATGCGCCTTCGAAGGTGTTTAGTCCTGCCGGCCACATGACCACGGAGACATCTTTGGACAGCGCTGGCTCTTCTTCAGCTTTGTAATGAATATGAGCATCGCCCCCTAGAGCCAGGAACGACTAACATATATTTGCGAGGGGAACCTTTACCTTAATCCTTCCTTCCTTGTTGGGCTTGAGCCCTTGGTCTCAGCTCAGGCCACTAATATGGGAAAGAAACCAGGATTGTACCCTGATATCAACAACAATTAACCAATGGAACGGCTTGCCTTGAGATGTTGTAGATGCTCCATTTACTGGAGGTTTTCAAGGAGAGACTGGACAGCTGTTTGTCAGGGTCTCCTGCTTGAGCAGGAGGTTGGACTAAAAGACCTCCAAGGTCCCTTCCAACTCTGTTGTTCTATGTTCTGTGGTGTATCTCAGATGAAGTGCCGTTCTTTGATGTTCCCTTGTCAGAAGCTGAAGGGTCTTGGGGGTGGGGTATCCCCTCTGGAGGAGAACCATTCTGATGCCCTCTCAGCTTCCTTGTGTTCTGTTTTGCTCCAATGCCGTCTGGGAGTTTCCACTCCAGTAGTTACAAGGATGTTTATCCCTAACATGTGGCACCAACAAGGAACGGCGCTGACTTCAGGGTGTTTCTTTGAGAGAACACGAGGGAAGTTGAATTCCTCATGATGAAGAATGTTTGTAGTAGCAAGAACTGACCATAAAAAGGCTTTTCAAAAAACTTCACCAAATTTGTGGGCAGAGAAATTGGATAGAAATATTTTTCCCCCAAATTTCCCTGCAGGAAGCAGATATTCTCCAATCATTTCTGAAGGACAGAGTTCAACCTTAGCAGTGACAGGGGCTCTTTGACCAAAAAAGCCCCCTAGAAATTTCCCCCAGGATTTCAAGAAAGATGGCTTGGAGAGAGGCATGCGCCCAAATGAAAGACTGGACAATAATGGGAACCCTTTGCTGTTTCATCGCTCAGTACCAACGACAACCACATTTTCGGTGTTAGGAAAGGTGCCCAGGTTCCACTGCAAAGGCTGGGCTTGAGTTTGACCCACGTGCTCAACCTTTTCAACTTCCTCCTAGGACGGGGTGCCAAAATCGATTTAAATTAATGGCTGCATCAGGGTTGTGTTTTACCTCGGGGTGGAGGGGGCAGGGGGCGTGGCCAGGGGTGGGGTGGCTAGCTCAACGTCCATTTTCAGCTGCAACGCCCTTCTGCAGCCTATTGCTAGTGAAAAGGAAGCTCGGGGGCATGCGTGGCTCTCCCGAGCTCCGTTTTTGTTGGCAGAGGCAACGGGGGCTGGTCCTTTGCTGTTTCCAGGGCAATACAGGATATATCAAAGATGTATCAAAGTCTATCAATACAGGATATATCAAAGTCTATCAATACAGAATATATCAAAGTT